TATTTTAGGCCACTGACATCTAAGAAACTCAAAAGCTTTTACGGGATATAAAAAGCCCATTTCCAGGTGTAATCTCTAAAGAAATCACTTGAAGTGGGTAATGCTGCTACAGAGATGTTGAAAAAAGGCTGCGTATGCCCAAGCTTTCAATTACTGAGCACCACCACATGCCTTAAGCCAAATGGACTGTGCCAGCACATTTTCTGGTGGCTGCATTCTAACTCCAATAATTCATCAGCCCCAAGACCTCAAAATTTATTTACTTTAGCAATTAATTTGATTTAGACTTATTTTCAGAGCTACAAATTTTCATTTCTGACATCACATACTCATGTATAAAAAGGGCCTTAGATAAGTTATTACACCTCACAAAGACCTCAAACTTTTTCATATGTAAAACAAGAACAATCTTTACCAGCTTCAGGAAAGTACAGTAAGGTAAGCTCCTATGGGTCTTTGGGAAAGAAGAACATATTTAAGTAATTTATATAATCAAGTCAGCCAATAAAATTCTTACAGTTTCCCCAGAGTTCCAAATTTTTTTCTGTTTTAATTAACAGCGGCAGGCAAGTAAAATGAGATATTTATTTTCTTATTATATCCTACTCAGAAGGTTCCAACTGTGAAACCTTTAAGCATAAGCACTATTGACTCCTCTCTCAATGTAGATTTATGCCTTTCATCATTCCTTCCTCATCACTTCAATCTTGACTCCCCCAGTTCTTGCTCCTCCAGAAGCAGAGGAGTATGATCATAACAAGGGCCTCAACAGGAGCACCTTCCCTATTTCTGCTGATGATTCTGGCAAAGCAAAAGCATGTAGGAAGCACGGGAACAGCCAGCCCTTTTTGCCCTTGTGGTCTTTCTGTAAGGAACACACAGGAATAAAGCTTAGGAAAAGAGAAAAATATCCTGGCCAGAAGAAGAAAAGGATGGAAAATAGGGAAATGTGTCACTAAATGAACTGGCTGCCGATCAACAAAGAACAACGCAGTGTAATTTTTCTCCCAATTACAAGTTTACAAATGATACTACCCAGAGCAGGGAGAACAGGCTTGAGAGGAAAGAGGAGTGGCAAGGAAATAAAGACCAAATTGCTTTCAAGAAGTCATATATTAGCTCAAATTACAAGAAAGTTTTTCCTACAAACACATTTTCTGGTCACCATTTCATATAACTAAACCAAAGTCTTAATAGTTTCATGTTCAACTCCTATTCAGACTTGTAACATTTTAGGAGAGGGTACAATTTTCTTAAACTCAGCTAAACACAGGCAATAAAAGAGGGCAGGAAAGTAAAAGATTTCTTTTACTAGCAGGGAAATCAAAGCAATGTTGAAAAATATTAAGCCAGTGCAATTTATGAATTACAGTAGAATACTATTAAGCATGCCTACAATTAAAAAAAGCTATTCTTTCTGCAACGTTGCCAGGTAAGCACTGTCTCAAAGCCCAGCTACAAGCAAGCTGTAAAATCTTCACTTGTAGATTAATTGCTTCTTGAATGTATTATGTCAATCAAAACTGATAAATAATTTTCTTATAGTAGCTTGCCTACACTTTAAAAACTTCCTATATACCTTTCTGACATACAAAAATGAGTGAAATGATGAGACAGCAAGAGACCAAGAAATGGTCTGGCACTAAAATGGGTATTTCTGCCTCATTTGTTTCCCCAGAAATAACAAAACTACTAAGACCTCCCTTTCTGGCACCAATTGACAGAAGACAGTCCCATCTCTTTTAAGATATGAATTTAAAAAAAAAAAACAAATTGGATGTTATTAAACTCACTCCTTTAAACCTTCCCTTTCAGTGCTAAGTCAGATGCCTTCGAAAATGAATATTCTGAAGATCCTGATGAATGTCCACCACAAACCACTTTCCCCTCAACTGCTCAATTTTCATTTCTCCCTGTTAAACTGTTTAACCATGTAAAGGCAGAAATCTATTTCTATTGCAGTAACAGTGGAAAAAAATATAATTAGTTTTTAAAATGTCTCCTCCTCCACCAACAGATCTGTAGATCACAGGGTTAACTTGCATATTTAAACTGGGCCTCTGTGCCTCTAGAAATTACTTCCAAAATAAAATATACTTTTTAAACAAAGTGGCTTAAATAAGCCTACCAAATACTTCTTCAGACCTAAACATGTGCTTTTTGAATCCTAGACCAGTTATTCTACCTGTGGTGGAAGACCACCAGTAGGCTGTCAGGCACAAGATGGACTACCCGAGTGCCTCTGAGTTCCTGCTACCTGTCACAAAACTGAACTGTTTCAGATGTCTGTAATGATAGCTGCGAAATGATTTGGTAATGGAGTAACTAGGTTTTTCTTCGGCTAAGAACCAACTTACTTAATACAATCCCTGGTAAACAGTAAACAATGATTCAAGACAGTCTTCTGGGTTTTTTCTGGCTTCTTGTGAAAAATGTTCTGCTGGAACAGGAGGCTTCAGTAGTTTAGAAACACTGTTAGATCAGATTCAATTAGAGAAAATGCACCAGAAGCACTGCTACTCAAGTGAGTCAAAACAATTGAATAGTCTAGCTAAGATGGTGCACCATGTAACAGTTTGGGGTGACTCCTGAGGAATTCTGTCTTCTGTCCTACAATTAGAAAGCTCAAGAGCTGGGTATGAAACCAGAATACACACCACCCAAAGAAAACAGAATTTACCTATCCAAACCCGAGATTGTTTAATAGCATCTATCTGTGCTATTTACCTTTTCCTAGAAAATACTACTCACAGAAAAAACTTGCTAAGTCAACTCTGACAGAAATAGCATATCAACATTACTTCTACCATTATGTAATGGACACATCATCTTACGCTCTGTCAATAGATTATTTTAGAACTGACTGCAGCAAAACATCCAGCACTACATTCTTTGACTCACTAGATGTTTATGTTTTATCGTAAGCTACCTACTATGAACACAATACATTCACCTATTCCTTCGCTATAACTGACAGCTCTCCAGTCCTGTACAAATACAAAAGAAATGTTACTTCAAACTGTGAAAAAGAACTGCTCTCTGCAAATTAAGTAAAGGTTGAAACAAGGTCTATCTCATTACAAGTGAATGCTTTCAGTGACAACATCCACAGTGTAGTGACAGTAAAAAGAATGACAGCTAAAAGGGTTTTTTTTTTTTTAATGTTTACCAGCTATTTAGTTTTAAGCTTGGTTTTCAGACTATTAGGCATCCAAGATCAGCTGTTATCAGACCCACCACACTGATACAGCTATAGTGAAGACTCTCCTGGTGTAGTTACTGCTTATATGAGCAAACACCTTTACTGGTAGAGATAATATCCAGCATACCTTTTTTCCCCCAGCATCTGCATTTGCATACTGCAATTGATCAGACACAAACACTGTTTAAGAAATCGCAAAGTAATCGTCAACATTATTGCACCACCAAAATATGCTAGGACAAGTTTAGTTACAACAGAATGGAGGAAAAAACAAAGTAAATCACAGGTTCATTAAAGGTCACTAACACAGGCATCATGATTAAATAACATTTTCTTCACGTTTATACATATTAGTGTACCAGGCAAGTCTTTGAGAACAAAATTTGCATGGAAGACCCAACTAATGAAAGCATGAGCACAACTGCTGTGTGGAAGATGATCACTGTTCATCTATATATTCACAGTAATTAGCAGTACTGCAAATATGGCAACAATTTTTAATCATAACCTTTTTCAAGTCTTTATTTCACTAATACCTTGTTCTCAAAATACAAGTTGTCTTTTCTCACAGTCTTAATGTAATCCCAGACTGCATGAAGGCATTCAGCAAACACATTGGTTTAGTATCCAACTGAAAACAAACCTTTATACATTTCAAAGTATTTTTCCAAATACATGTCTAACAGACATTGAAGTGCACATGCAAAGACAGACTGAGCACAGCACATCAGCTTCTGCTGCAACTTTATTTTTTAATGGAAAGACTGCAAGCCCCTGCTTAAAACCAAAAGGAAACCCATTTTCGACTCTGTGAGATCTAATATGAAATGTGATAAACAGATGGCCTTGCTTTTAACGGGTTAAGAACGAAAAAGTTTACACCACTTCTATTTCTCCAGCTGTAAAACCAAGATATTGCCAGAGTCTTCCTGAAGCCAGGGTACTGGATAATTTAGTCTAAAATAAATGTTTATTAAAAAAGGGCGTTGATTTCTTGGCAGCGGTGAAAAGCAGGAGACACCCCTAGTGTCGACGTAAAATACTACAGGACTCCATACTGTATCTCTGGGTTAATTTTACGGCAGCAAAAGGGAAATTTAAATCGTCATGATTTAAAAAACAGAGCGACTCAAATACACACACCTGAACATACCGCATACCTTCTTCCTGCGGTCTCAAAACCCACATGCCTATCATATTTGAAGTGTCAGCTTTCTAAACGCGCCCCAATTAAAGTATACATTATCTAGCCTGTTTCCCTGCCATGGGCTACGTGCATTATAGCTTTCCGGTCTGCACACGAACAGAGAAACGCTGCTGCACCAAGGGCGGGGGGTGGGAGGGAACCCCATTGAGACTGTAAAACAACCCCCACAGCACATCGCTACCAAAATGCCGGGCTCGCCGATACATCTGGAAAACAAATGAAGCGCAGGCCGGGGAGGGCGAACCCCGCACTGAGGGGAAGGGGGGGGTGGTGGAGAAGCGGGTTTGGGGGCGGGAGTGAGGTGAGGGGGTGCCGGAGGACGAGGCGGGGGGAATGGAAGGACCGAGCGCCATGAGCGCTGCCGGGGCGGGGGGAGGCGGCAGGAGGCGGCGGCAGGAGGCAGCGGGGCACACGGAGGCGAGGCGGCGGCGGTAGGCGGCAGAAGGGAAGCGGGCGGCCGTGCCTACCCCCCGGAGAGGCGCGGGACGGCCACAGCGGCGGCCAGCGGGGAGAGCGGGAAGGGGAAGCCCAGCGAGGCTCTCGCCCTAGGGAGGACGTGGATGGCTCGATGGCGGCGGGGCGCGAGGGAGCGGTGGTTGTTGTGCTGGGCTCTGTAAGAGCGGAGGAAGTGGTGTGATGGTTCCTTTTAGAGGGTCTTGCATGTTGAGTGTTGCCACAAGATAGGTCTGTGTTTACTGCTGAGGTCTCTGTCCAGGGAGAGGTTCCTTCAGGTGCTCCAGAGCTGCTGTTTGGCTGTGTTCCTCCACGCACACCCTGCTTAGGCTGTTGGAGCCCTTGGTGCTCGAGCTTCCCTCTTTGCTCTTGTGTGGATTCTGCTGTCTGTGGAAGAAAATAACCCATGCAGAATGTTCAGCACAGGTGGCCAGTGGAAGCACAGCTGTGAGTGGTGCCTCCTTTCTTCATCTGGCTGTTTTCTCAGGGTTTTAATGTTATGTTATAAAAGGCTATCTAGGTTGGAAGATGCTCAGTACTTCACAGATTTTGGGATATCGTGTTTCTAGAGTGTTAATAGTGAGTTACATAAAACTAAAGGAAATGTGCTGTGATGAAAGTGTTTATGTGTACCTTTGTGGTTTGATGCTGGTAGCTAATGCTTTGTGCCCTGGGTATTTTGCAAAGTAAAAGGGCTGATAGAGTTGAACACAAATGAAGATGAAAGATGCAGTCTCAGTAACCCCTTTGAGGCAAGATGTAGGGCAATGCAACTGCTTGCATAAGTAAGGCTGCCCTTCAGGGAGTGATCTCTATATATTGTAAGGCTTTAAGTAGGCCAGATGACACCTTCAAAAACCTCTGTGAAGGGCAGAGCAAAATACTGAGTAAAGATTGGTTGATTTTACATTCTTTTAACTGTTTTTGCTCTTCTTTCTGTGCTCGTTTTGCTGAATGTGTTTATTTTGGAGTACCACGACACAGCACATAACACCGTGACAAATGAAGTGGTGATGTGAAAATAATAATTGCATATAAAATACTGTTGTGTTAGTACTGCTAAAGAGAAGATTCAGTATCATGTTGATGTTTTTTTTCAGGCATTTGACCCTTGGCTCACAATAGCTACGTATTTTGCCAGAGAAATGCCTATCAATTCTGTCAAGTTCAAGGTGAATGACAACCTAATTTGTAGGCAAAGGGAGGGCTGAAGTACTGATTTAAAACCAGGTTAATTTTTTTTTAGGACCATAGCTGAGCATGAGCTTTCCAGTTTAAAATCGTAATTTTCCCTCCCTTCAGCTCCTTCTGGAAAAGGAACTGCTGCATCATTGTTGCCCTGTTTGTGGGAGTCTGAGCTGGTCAAGGGCTAACACAAGTTACCTTCAGATTTCCTGGAGAAACCTGGAATCTTGACATCAACTGCTGATGTGCAAATGCTAAGAGAAAAGGGGCATCTCCTGTATGGAAGCCTGATCCGGAACCTAGATAATAAAGGGTGACTGTGAAGTTCAAGAACAGATCAGAATTTCTCATTTAACAGATTGAAGCAAAGTGCAGCAATAAATGTGCAGTTCTTAGAAACTATTAGTGACTGATGAGGCTTCTGTTCAGAAGCTGATACCCAGCACGCCTTCACACCTGCAGAAAGGAGTGAGCTTGACCAGGAAGAACGAAGAGTGGACTGAGGAGATTGCGCAGAAAAAATCTAGCAATAAAATAAGTAAATCGAGAACATGGTGATGAGTGAAACGAAGCAGTGGAGAACGGAAGGTAATTTGCACCAGCGAAAAGTAAACCAAACACTGAGGCATGACTGTAAGCTTTACGTTAACAGCAAGTCAGCAAAAAAGGCCTTGCTGTAAGAATCTGGGCCTGGCCGCAGTGGGAGGTTATACATGGTGAAATGGCCTGATACAGGGAAGGGATCTCCTGCCTTTACTTATTAACAGGTAGAGGTGGCTAGGACAACTTTTCTTTTTTGGGGAACAAAAAAAAAAACCCAAAGAACCAATTCTAGTTGCTAGGATGTCTAGAAATAAAACATTCCTAGATTTCACTGAAAGCTAGTATTAAAACCGACTGGACCTCAAGCCAAAAAAATAAAAATTAAAAATGAACAACTTAGAATCTCCAAAAGACAGATAAATTCTGATATAAACAAATCTTGCTGCTTACATCTGTGTCACTGCAGGCTTATCTAGCTGATGCAAATTTGGAGTAAAATCAGCTAAATGAAGTTGGCTAAATGAATATGGCTAGAATTTCTATTGCATAATATAATGGGACTAAAATAAACAGAAATGAGGAATATAATAGCATAATTGTTACGTTTTTAAGTTGCAAGTACAGACAGCCAAGAACTTAGAAAAAAATACAAATTTTGTCTTTTAATGCAGATATGTCACTGTTAGTAGTTTTGAAGCTCTAGATGCAGTACAAATATGAGCTAATTAGTTTTTAATTCCTTTCTGCTGTGCATATTTGTCAAAGGAGCTTTTATATCTGACTTCTAAAAGGTGTTAAAAATGTAAGATGGCATTTGTTAGTGTGTAGATCAGAGTCTGCTGAAAACCATGACTTGCATTTAACAATTTGTATTATTTTCTGACTAGTAATTTTGGAAATACTGATACTTGAATATGTTTTTTGACTACGTTTCAGGCAACTCTGTGTTTTGTCATTTTCTGGGTTTGGTAAAGTTTCTCTGCAGCATAATTACAGCCATTCAAACTAGGATAAATATTTGTACCCATATAATTGGAAGCTGTTTTAGCTACAGATAAATAAACATATGTAAACTCTGTACCTGTTTGGGTTCTTCAGTGTTATTAACAATAATGATGTGATTTGCATAGGGCTTGACCTAATGTTTGGAAAACAATTTCCATGCTCCTGCTTATGTGTCTGGACTCTAGCTGCAGGTCTTAGAATGCCTGTTTTAAAGTGCTTTTTGTGATACCTTATCTGTCACTAAATTTTTAGTTCTTTATATTTTTAATACAGCATGAATCTGTGATCCCCTGAGTGTATCCTTCTTTGTCTTGCCTTGTGCTGATCCTTATGTAAACATCCCTTACTCAAAAACATAGCTGGATGCAATTTGTATGGAGCATTCACCTCTCTGTTAACCTCAGGGTGAGGGCTGCCACCTAATCAAATAATCTTCCACCCTGACCCTTAACAGGCTGTAAGCAGCTTTTCCCAGGAAAGCAGGTAAAGTCTTGGGACAGTGCAGTAAAGCTTGAAAATACATGGTTTTTAAGCATATGTATGTGGGTTCCAGTAGGTGTGTCCTAAAAATAAACTCTTCTTTACTGCTCTAGAAGGAAAAAAGGAAAGCCACCTTTTTTTGGCCTGGAGGTAAAGTGCTTTCAGCTGCAGTGGGCAGGGAAGCTGTACTTTGTGAGCAAAGGAGGAAGCCTTTTTAGATGGAAATGAAAACCATCCATTCTCAGCATGTTTGAACTCTAATGTCTGTAAAACACTGTATTTATTCGTTTCATTTCGTTTGTAACAACAGGTAGAATAATAAGCAAATCTTAAGATACACAATACTGACTAGAGCTGCCAAGTGACTGGAAAGATAAAGTGCCTCTTATTTTATCTCTCTTACACCTACATCTGTCGTTTCAGTTGAGAGAAATGAAAGGGAGTCTGCCCTTATTTTCTTGCGTATTTGTGACAGCATGTATGACTTGCCAGCATTTGGGAGGGAAGGAGATGGTACTTCTCAGACCCAGTAATGCTCAGCTGAACAAAAAAAAAAGAAAGGTCAAATGCAAGAGCTAAAGGCACAGGGGAACATTGCTCTCTTTAACTAGAAAATGAAGAACAGTACTGTCCTTAAGACCAGGAGAAAGGTACAGGCCACAGAAGTCTTGTGAAGCTGTAGGTTAATAGGGTGATCTTTGGCTACCCATTGGTTTATTTTGCATCGCTGCAGAATGCTGGATTTTAAATTGCTAGAGCAAGTGCAACTGTATAGTTGTCTCTAGTATATGTGCATTTAATGAAGCAGTGGTTGTAAATGCTTCTGGATCTGTAGATCCTGCTGCCCAAGGTGGTGTGAATTAAATGACCTGACAGTAGGGTTATTTCTCCAGTTACCCTTTTCAACTCTTTGTGGTAATTAACAGCCCACAAGGACTGGAAGCCACAGATTGAAAATCCCTGCATGGCACTATTTTTTTTCCCCTTAACTGAGTTATAAAGAGTGGCCTTGTGATTTCCTGGACTTATTACCGGTTCTGGCTAGAATAAACCAGTAAAAATAAACTGGATAAATGGGGTAAAAATGCTTTCTATATATTTGACCCTATGCCTGTAATCATATCACTGTATCAACTAGTGCTGCGCAGAACAAATATGTGGAAATAATTTGCAAGAAAGATTGACACTAAAAGGTTACATTTTTCTTGAGACTGTGCTGTTTGCATAATAATTTCATATAGTGATCTTATTTGCCTAGCAGCTGATAACATTTCTTGATGGCATCCAGCTGTAGCTAGGGTTGGTATAATTGGCAGCTTCTTTCTGAAGACATTTGTTCTGGGGAACTCTGGTAAGAGCTGTGGGCTGACTGCTCAAAGACCTTGCAACAGCTGGAGGTAAGTGCTGTGAGCACCAGTGCAGTGTTTGATTTTTTCACTGATGTGCTTGTCTACCACTATTGTAAAGGCTTATTGCTTTTGTTTAACTTTGCTAGAGATATGCATATATCTGACTTGTGAAATTCTTATCTTTTGTAGTAGCTGATTCTGCAGAAGAGGTTGGCCTGCACAGGATGTTAATGAGCTATTAATGTATGTAACTTCAATCTGTGGAAACAATCACTTGAGTAATTTTAAGATGGTACCTGTTTATCATTGGTCATGTGTTGGCTGACTGGTTCAGGTTTTGGACCAGTACAAATTCTGAAGGTGATGACTCAGGCAGCAAGCTAGACCAGTAAGTTTTTTACTGTGAGGGTGGTGAGACACTGGCATAGGTTGCCCAGAGAAGCTGTGGCTGCCCCATCTCTGACAGTGTTCAAAGCAAGGTTGGATGGGGCTTGGAGCAACCTGGTCTAGCGGGAGGTGTCTGGGCCCATGGCAGGGGGTTGGAAGTGGATGATCTTTAAAGTCTTTTCTAAACCAAGCCATTCTATGATTCTATGATGATTTAATAGTGAAACAGCAGAATCTGAACTTTAACAATGCCAAAAGGTCTACTTTCTCTTGTGGCAGAGAGAAAAATGGGGAATTGCTTGATTGTTGATCTTCTAATAGTTTGACTTGGGGACAAATTTTGAATACCAGTAAGTAACCTGACTCTCTCAAAGCTAATCAAAATAGATGTTGTTGTCATGTGGAGTACCTTTTAGCATATCCCTATGTGTTGTGGGGAGTTTAATGAATATGTTTAGTGTGAAGTCCTCTGTCTATTAACGCTTTCTGTTGTCATGGAAGAGACAATAATTGCATTAAAAAATGCTGTCTTGTGTTATGATATGGTAGATTGCATCCATCTTAGCTATGCATTTTTCTATAGCTTTGATTACCATGATCTCAGTGCTCATGTAATCTCTTTTAATTTATAGCTATCATCTGTGTGAAGAATTAAGCTGCTTGTTAGGACTTTCAAAGGAAACATGATGCAGCATGATCATGTGTATTCATATAAATGTTCAGAGCCCCCTCAGCTGAGGAGATGAGACAATACTGGGGTAAGCACCATGCATGTGTGATTCTCCGCTCTGTGCATCTGTTCAATGCAGAGACTTTCTTGGGACTGCCTGTTGAGGACTCTGGTTTGAAGTTTCAATTTGAGAACTAGGAGGAAGTATACCCCATTGCCAACTAGGTCAGTTTGCCATAGGTTGTGATTTTTTTTTTCCCACAGGAATTCAGAAGTGCATCTAGGAACGCCCAAGGAACTTATGTGATTCTAGTACAGAATACTGCCTGTATTTTTACAGTTGTGACAGGTTTTACTACTGTAGTGAAACTGCATGGTGAAACTGGTTTTGGTGATGCTCTTTTCTTGAGCAGCAAAGCACCTGGTCTGTCAACTGTGCCTGTCTGTTGGTGTTAGAATCATCATTGGATCCTGCCTTTTTCTTACCATGGTAGTCTTCTGATATTCTGGATCTGCAGCATGGGACTAGAAAATCACCTCAGCTGTTAGGTGGTGGGTGAAGTTTCAGTCCTGCTCCACATCTTTCAGTAGAAGAGTGAAAATACTCTCATGCTGTTGGATAAGGATTCTGTGTTTTGTTCCCATAAAGTAGGTTCAGGTTCTGAATCCAAAGCGTTTTCACATCCTAGGTTTTATCCTTTCACCCTAATGATGGAAGGGATAGACTCTGCCAGTGAATGCTTGGTCTTTGCATTTTTAACATAGTATGGTCACCTAAGGAGTCATAAAAGGATTTTGTTTACTGGCATCCTCTTCTTCCTTAGAGAAAGAGTAGTTAAAAGACCGCAACTTACTTTTTTTTTTTTTTTTTTACAGTTATTACAGCTGCTGGGAGCTCTTGGTTTACACAAAGGTTAAAGAATTCCTTACAGGAATTATAACTTGGCTGGACTTGATGTTAATCTCTGTTAATCTGATGATCTTGTGTTATTTAAGTCTTTGGGCCTCCATGTTGCAAGAGGCTGCGTAATTAAAGGGGGCATTTGCCAGGGATGGGGTGCAGCTTGTAACTGTGGTAAGCTGTAAGTCATGATGCTTCTGCCTCCTACCTATTTGGCAAAGTACTATCTACATGCTGGTGTGGGATGGATTTGTAACTTCAGTGGATTTTACATTAGCTTCTGATCAGTCATGCTGTTACTGAATTCTCCCACAAGAAAAAAAAGAGATCTTCCTTTTCAAGAAGGGCTTGCAGAGTTCCTAGAGGATATTTCAAAAAATCAGAATAAAGACATTTGCTCATATTTTCATACTGGACTTACGCCCCATTAGTTCTGTCTCCCTGCAGACAGGCATGCATAATGAAAATGAAATTCCTAAGTAAATACCATCAAATATTGGGTGACTTAGTCATACAGTACAATTTTATTCCCTCTTTCAATAGGGAAGAATTCTGCTCTTTGGAAAATGTCCCACCACCATTAGAATTCTACAACAGCCCAAACAGTTTTTCCACTGGGTGATAATTTACTTAAATGTGCTATCCCTAGTTTAGGTAGGCAGCATTTATATGGTGTAAGAGATACTCCAGCCTGTCCTTAACATGAAATTTAATTTTAAAAACCCACTCCTGTAAGCCTTGTCCTATGCAGGAAGAGTAAGGAAGAGTAAGACCAGTAGTGATTCTAATGGTTTTCAGCTGGTGGGAAACTCAACATTTTGTGGCTTTTGTGCATGTGCTTATGCATAAATAACCAAACCAGAGGTTTAAGAAAATATCATCACACAAAAAGGAGTAGTTCAGATTAGTCTTATCAGAATATTCAGATTATTCTTATCTCATTCTTAATACTAATGAGACAAAACTATTTGTGTTGAAAAATTTATGTTATGATTTAAAGAACCTCATGTCTTTTCCCATTCAGCTGAAGCTATTACGTGACTCTTTCTGCAGACTTAGGGATAGCTGGTAAAATTGCAATGGAGAGTTAGTGCACTGATAGGTGAATTAACTTCACAATGTCACGAGACCTCTGTAATGTATGTAAATCTCAGCATTAAAAAAAGGTGGAAACTTGTTTAGAGTTGTAATAAGCATGTTATGAGTAATGTTACGACTGCATGGGTTGAAAGCAGATGAAGATTTACTGAGGTGTATACAGTTCTGTTGGGCCCACTATTCCCAAGGTAGCTGTAGAGCCTGTGGATGAGACAATACAGGCAGTCTAACAAACCTCCTTGGTGTAGTTGCAGTCAGTGTCTGTCTTGTTATAGCTCACACCAGTTTTGGACTAGAATAAAAACAACACTGTAGTGGCTTTTTGGTCGACGTAATTTGCAGTTTTTTGGCTGACTTGTGCTCACAGGAGTATTTTGCTACCTTCCTGTTGCTAACCAGCAGAGCTAAAAGCGTAGGACATGTCTGGGAAATGTTTATGTTCTGCCCCTCTTGCAAATAGAAACTATTCTGAGAAACACCCCTCATGGCATGGTGAGACAGCATGCTACTTGTTGATTTTGGCATATGTAGTAAAGAATAAATACAGGTCATCAATACTGTCTTGCCCTGCTGGATATGAGCTCTTCAGCTTGAGCAACACTTCAGTAGCAAGCAGCTGAAGGCTTTCATTCCCTGTGTCTGCATCCTGTAATCATACCATGGGATAAAAGGGACTAACTAATGCCTCAATACCAGGAAATACATACCCAGTCTTCTGCTGATCAAATACAGTGGCAGTTATTATTGGGTTTAGCTTAGGGTCAGGGAAGAGAGAAGGACTGCTGTTAGGAAGGAAGAGTCTTGTTTGTACAGTGTTCAATTAGGTATCTGGTTTGTATAATTGTTAAGGAAGAATTTGCCTCTCCAGTGGCAGGTCCTTTAGTTTATTGGTATTTTAGTAACAGTCACTGCACATTTTACTGCTCAAATGGTTAATTTGTTAGTGAACATGTATTCTGTTTTGAATATGTGGGTGTTTGCTCTAACTGAAAGCATACACCTGTAGATGTATGCTATAGAGCATAACAAGCTTAAAATACTGACTTCTTGGCATTATATTAGCCAGTGTGTTTGCTCAGTTTCTCCATTCATGAGTAGCCAGCTTTGAGTATTCTCCTGTATATTTCATGACAGTTCGGGGTTTTATTGTGAAGGTGGTGAGATACTGGAACAGGTTGTCCAGAGAAGCTGTGGATACCCTATCACTGGAAGAGTTTAAGGCCAGGTTAGATGGGACTTTGAGAAGCCTGATGTAGTGAAAGATATCACTGCCTGTGGCAGGGGGTTTGGAACTACATGATCTTTAAGGTCCCTTCCAACCCAAACCATTCTATGAAATCTGTATTTTGAGAGAATTTGTGTTGGAATGACTCTGCAAATAACTTCCAGTTACGAGATGAAAATAGTTTCCCAGGGATTGTCTGGTTCCACTGAGCTATGAGATTGAGGTGGAAGCATGCTGAATCCCTGAGCAGATCAGTGAAAGACTGTTGCTGTGGGTAGCTCCAGTTGCCCACTCCCTCGGAGCTAGCATATAGGCTCTCCAGCATCCTTAATGTCCGCATATGGTGTGTGGTTCTGTTCAGGAACCACACCTTGGTCAAATGTGTCCTTATCTGTAGCAATGTGCTTCTGCCTGATGCTATTCTGATGAAGACCACGGACCAGGTCCAGACTTTCTTGCCTGCATCAGGTTTAGCTTACACCCTGTTATTTCTGTTCTGTTTTAAGGAATTACTAAGCACTTCAGTAGTAAGCTTCTTGTAGAATTGGGGATGACAAGTCTTGATCAGGACCTCAGTGATTCATTGCTACCAGTATTAACAAATTGATCACTTTAGTATCTGTGGGGTGGGTAGGTGTTAACCCTAAAGTTTAAGACAGGTTTTCTAGTGTACATGCTTTTTCTGGATGTCACTTTGGGAACACTTCCACTAATACGCTGTTCATGTCAGAGTTTAAATAGAGGATTTTTTTACCACCAGATTTGTCATTCATTTGCTGTGTGACTTTACACACTCAGTATCTCAGGTGGGCATGTAAACTTCAAGGCCTCTTTTGAAATGTTCTTTTTGAAAGGCAATAGTACTATTAGGTGGAAGTTTTGGAAGTTATTATACAAACACATAGTGTATTTATGTGTGCATTTATATTTATGAAGTATAATCCATAATTACTTTTTAAAGT